AGATCATCTAATCAGCTGCAGAAAGCCACCCACCCCCCCACACAGCCACCCAATACCACAGCCTACCCCGTCCCCTTCCTTTCCCTACCTTAGACATGCCACTCCACCCCACCCCACCCCACCCCCACCGACACCCTCTTGCCTTAATCGTCGATGCCGAGGTCTTCTGCCCTCCCAGCCAAGGCATGTAAAAAGGGAAATTGGTTGCCCTTTGCAAAGGGCAGCCTGGATTCCCTTAGCTTGCCTTAAGGGAATCCAGGCTGCCCTTTGCAAATATGACACCTGCAGCTTCCCAACCCTATATGAAGCCGCAGCCACCATCTTTGCAAAGGGCAGGCAGTCTCCATTTCTACATGCGTGGCTCCAAGGCCAAAAGACCTCAGCAGCGGCGATTAAGGTAGGAGGGTGTCGCTGAGGGCGGGGTCGAAGGTGTGGGTTTACTCATGAGTAAGCACCACAGGAGGTGCAGGTCTACTCATGAGTAAGTGTCACCGAACATCCTGGGTGGGGCGCGCAGGTTGGAGGAGCTCTCTGGACCGGGCATGCGGCAGAAGGAGGAAGGAGAAGCGGGCGGGTGCCTGGTGCTTTGTAAGCTAGGGAAACCTCCAAGGGTGTCGGTGACGGTGGGGCCTTCTGAGGCCTCCGGAGGCCTGGGAAGGCAGCGATGGGGTGGGGTGGGGGGACAGTATTCGCTCCATAACACACACACACTTTTCCCTCCACTTTTTTTGGGCGGAACTGCGTCTTATGGAACGAAAAATACGATAGTTAATATTAATGTGACTAATAAATGAGTACCTAAAGAATAAATCGTATGTTTTTATATTTATTAAATCCCATCATGGTTTTTTGAATTCTTCATTTCAAATATGGTTTGTTGATTTCTCTATGAAGGAAATGTTTTGAAGTTTGGATTGCTATCCTTCCACTGAGGGACTTCTGTCACTATTTCAATGTAGAGCAATCTCTTCTCACAGCAAGATACATGAAGAAAATTCACTCTTTAAAATTTGCTTATTGTCCAAAAAGAAGAAAAGAAATCTCAGCGAAGGAAAAATGGGAACATCTTTGATTTTCTCCATATCTTTAAAAACAGACTCTCAGAATGAAGATATTACTGAACAAACCCACCAAATGGGAATACAACACCAAAGTCCATCCCCACCTTTAAACACCAAAGTCCATCCCCACATTTAAAACCGTGTTTATGTAGCAAATTTTTAAGAGGAGTCAAGTACCAGCAATATGTTACTTTAATATTTTAAGGAATACTAGCAAAAACTGTTTTTGCAAGTGGTTTTGTGCACTGAAACCTTTGCATGCCATCCTTAACAGTACATGCTAGATCCTTTTTCCATATATTTTTGTGCCCAATCACTTTTTTGTTAATCATAATTACTACTTTTAACTAAGTGGGTTTTAATGGTTTGATTGCATTGTTTTAATATGAAAAGTGAGGTAGTTATGTTTTAATATTTACAATGTATTGTTTTTAATTGTACTTATACACAAACACAAACACAAACACACACACACACACACACTGGGAGACATATGGGATATAAAACAAATAAATAAACCAATAGATAAATGTATATGTTGCATTTCCATCACTGTCCAGGCCAATATCTGTTTTGATTCAGTAAAGCTGCTGGATCATGTGCATCTAGAATATGCCAATATAATCCTAATACAGTATTTCTTGGTGTTTCTGAAATTATTAGTCATTTCATCCCATATAAGGAACATCAAATACTAACATTGCAGAAGATGAGATATGAGGAGTGCTGCAGTGTTGTCACTGCAGGTAAGGCGTTCTTCTGCTAGGTCTCTCTTAATTTGTAGTGCAAATAGATACCTAGAAGAGAAGAACCAATAATAAGTTTTATAAACTGGACTGTTGTACATTATTCATTCCAGAACAAAGACAGCACTTCAAAACTAGCTTTTGCCAAAGCAGTAGCTGATGCAGGATGCTATGAAGTAATCAACAAAAGCTATGCACCTGGATAATGAGCACAATTTTATTGTATCAAGTTATAGGAGCGTAAATCAGATTGGATACTGGAAATGTTTAATTTAAATGAATTGAAAGCTTCCTAGGGCTCCCTTTTGGCCTGGGAATATCTTTAGGAGCCTCATGATGTGTGTGGGGGTGGGGGGTGTTTTAACAGTCAAAAACCATCAGTAGCAGTCCAGACCTCACTGCTGGTGATAAACTGGCAAATTCTGAGTATCAAAGCCACACACATCCCACTCACAAGGATCCCAAAAACATCCCCCCGAAGGGCAAAACTGAACTTCAGAACCTGGGGTTCAATGCATTTAAAGGGGAAAAACAAAAAATCACCAAAAATTAATGAAGACTCAGAACAGAGCCAAATTAAGTTTGCACATGTTTCACAAGGTGGACTACCAATTCCAAGCATTTAAAACAGGTTTCAAACATTTTAACACTTAAAAATGAGCGAAAACGGACATCTTTAAGTGAAACTCCCCCATAGAGAACATCGTTAAACGATGCGGAAAATTCCTCCAAGAAACACATCGTTAAGTGAATTCTTCGTTAAACGAAGCAATCGCTAAGCGAGGCACCACTGTATTTCCTGTGTCCAATTCGGTTTATGCAACAGAATTTTGCCTACTGTTAGAGTAGTGGAGGCCATCCGCTGGGATCTCTCTCCTTTTTTAAATACAGTGGATCGAGCAGAGATGTCCAGTGCTCCGACTGGCCTGGTGAGTTTTGAATTTTTTCAGCCTGTGATGCCAGATATGGTGAACAAAGCACTTGATCGCTGCCGGGCCACCACCTCCTTTGACCGTTGCCCAGCCTGGCTAATCAAAGTAGCCAGGCCTGTAACAACGGAATAGGCTACTGCGATAATTAATGGGTGTCTCCAGGAGGGCAAGATTCCTCTTGTCCTCAAGAAGACATTCATTTGGCCCATTACAAAGAAACCAAATTTGGCAACGGACAATACTGGCAATTATAGGCCCATCGCCAATGTTTCTTTCCTTAGTAAAGTGGTCGAGAGAGTGGTGGCTGATCAGCTTCAGGCTCTTTTGGATGAAACAAATGCCCTGGATCCATTCCAGTCGGGCTTCAGGTCGTGCCACAGCACAGAAACAGCACTGGTCGCACTGTTGGATGACCTGTTGAGGGAGACTGACAGGGGCAAAATGTCCTTTTTGGTCCTCCTCGATATCTCAGCCGCCTTCAATACCATCGACCATGGTATCCTCCTGGGGAGGCTCTCTGAGCTGGGAATTGGTGGCCCGGCGCTTGCCTGGCTCTGATCCTACTTGGAGGACCATCCTCAGAGAGTTCAGCTTGGGGAGGGGGTCTTAGCCCTGTGGAGTCTCAATTGTGGAGTTCTGCAGCGCTTGATCATCTACCCAATGCTGTTTAACATCTATATGAGACCACTGGGTGGGGTCATCAGGGGGTGTGGAGCCTCGTGCCATCAGTATGCTGATGACACGCAGCTCTACATCTCCTTTAGCCTACTTCAGTGGATGCCATTCTGTCCCTTCAGCATTGCCTGGAGACTGTACTGCAATGGATGCAGGAGAATGGGTTGAGTCTGAACCTGGACAAGACGGAGGTCCTGAGGGTGGGTGGCCTGGCTTGGGAAACTCCCTCTTTTGAGGGGGTGACTCTCACCGTGAAGAGTGAAGTTCACAGCTTGGGAGTAGGACCTTGATATCTGGCAGAACGCCTTCTCCCACCTAGATCTACTCGAGTCACTTGCTATAGCCAGGAAAGATGGCTGAGGGGCCTGACACGGAGAGAGGCTTGGAAAGAAAGAACAAGAAACCGGGCCTTCTCGGCGGTGGCCCCTCGACTCTGGAACAGCTTGCCACCAAAAATTTGTCTGGCACCCCCGCTGGGTGTTTTCAAGAGCCAATTAAAAACTTGGCTCTTTAGGCAGGCCTTCCCTCCTGCAAATACTTGATTTTTATTTTTCTTTGTTTTTGTTGTTTATCTTTCCATCTTGATTATATTATTATTGTAGATTTTAACTGTTGTTTTTAAATCCATTTTGTGCACAATATATTGTGAGCTGCCCTGAGTAGACTCCTGTCTAGAAGGGCGGGATTAAAAAAAAATCAAATCAAATCAAATCAAATCAAATCAATAAATAACTTCCAATGCCTCTTGAGTATTACCCAACAGGAAAAATATATCATCACCACCAGCTTCCAGGTAATTGCTGTTCAGTGACATCCTTTTACTATAAGTACATCATGTGACTAGCTATGACTTAGTTATATGGCATAACTACGAAAAGCCTAGGAAAATCTTCACCTTCATCAAGTCATGTAGGTATATTACCTTTAAGGCTGGTGGGCTTTATACCAAAAGTGGCTAAGACTATGCCTAATGAGAATTTGCCTATTCTGCAAAAATGTGTGTCAAATTATCTCAGTACATGAGGGAAATCAAGCTACTGTTAACCTACAGTCCTTGCTGTCACCATGTCTCTTTCAATGTATTTACTTTCCTGAAAACAGCCTATACCCTTCTACGGGAGAAATTAAAAAACAAAACCTTCACAGATAAACTGTATGTTTAAAATTTGAAAATAATCCACTATTTTAATGATTCTGTTATTATCTGATGAAGGACAGAAAACCTTGGTACTCCAGATGATACTGAATTAAAACTGCCATTTTTTATTAGCCATACTGACCGAAGCAGATGGGAGCAAGAATCCAACATCAGTTGGAAGGTAAGAGATCCCCATCTTTGCTATGTATATTCAGGCTCTATCCTATACTGAACATTTTACCAAACAGCTATGTCAAAGTTTCCAAAGAACACAAACACACTGAAGCCCTAACAGGAACTCTGGAGAACAGATACTGTATATTCCAATATTCTAGTACTGTATCTCTTACAGAACCTAAAGTCATCCACAGCAGTCATCTGTGAAAACAGGAAAGCAAACTACAAAAGTAAGAAAACAGCAGAAAGCACAATCAAAAGAAAAACTGTTTAACACTGAAATTTGCAGATGAAAAGGTATACACAGGTGCATTCAGGTAGAAAATACTAGAAATACAAAGCATACATTGGCAGAAATATAGGTATCAGCAGCTGAGTTCTGCTGAGATCTGCAAAATTGTGCTTGATTATGAGGAAGAACAAAGAAGAAGCATATCCTTGATACTATTCGATCAAAGCAAACACGAAAGGCAAAACAAGGAAACAGGCATAATAACATGAACTGAGGTTAGAGATGAAATCAGATCATCCAGAAATTGGTTAAATAACAGACAACATGGAGAAGTGTTTTCTTTTGTGAAAAGTGTTAAAACCGGTATTTTGAGCATATTCTTAACACACAAACTTTCTATGCATACAACTGAAGCAGTACTTTTGTTGCTAGATTATGTTAGGAAAAACCTGATGTCATTCAAAGCAACGCAGAAATTAAAACCTAAATCTACCAAAGTATTTTGATTATGAAGGTTTTCTTTTTAACCTTTCTTTCCTTTTTATATGTCTATACTTCAACTGTAAATAATTCAGAAATTAATATACAGTAAGGAGTCTTTACCTGGTAAACTCCTCTTGCAACTGACCAGGATCAGGAGGAAAGAATTTTACAGCTAGACGAAGCACTGCATTCTTTGGTCCTACAGGAAAATCAAAATACAGTATTACCTTTTAGCTTCATATTTTAAACTTGCATGTTGAACTGTGACTGTGAACATTCATATGGAGATAATGGAAACTAGGCATATACATTGCTAATGGGCTCCTACTGATGCAGCAACAAGGCCAAAAATGGCATGCCAGAATCTCTTATTTCAACCCCAGATTAGACTTTTCTTCCACTTAAGGGCAGGACAAACACTATATAAAAGCAGCATCAGTGGACAGGAAGTATGAAATGTCAGCCAAACACAAGACTGATAAATAGTAAGGCTCTGCAACTGAGCATGAAACACATAAATAAACAAAGGAAACCACCTTTTATCAACCTTACAACTCTAGTTCAATGTCTAGTATCAGAAGCGGAATGGATGAGGGTGAATAAACAGAAGCTTAACCTGACAAGACAGAGGAGCTCCTGGTGAGTCAAAAGGCAGATCAAGGAACAGGGATGCAGCTTGTGCTAGATGGCATTACATACCATCTGAAAACATAGTGTGCAGCTTAGGGATGCTCTTGTATTCATCTCTGAGCCTGGATGCCCAGGTTTTAGTAGTGACCAAGAGTGTATTTCCACAATTAAAACAAGTGCACTAGCTGAGCCCATTCTTAGGTCTGATCTGGCCATGGTGACACATGCTTTCGTTACATCCTGGCTGGATTACTGTAACTCACTCTACACAGGGCTGCCTCTGGAAAGTGTCCATAAACTTCACCAGGTTCAAAACACAGCAGTCAGATTGCCAACTGGGGATTGTGACAGGGATCAATTAACTTCCCTGTTACAGCAGCTCCACTGGTTGTGATCCACTTGGGGTCATAATTCAAAGTGCTGGTTCTAACTTATGAAGCCCTAAATGGCTTGGGTCCATGCTATGTCAAGAATTGCAGCTCCATTTATGAACCTATTTGGGTATTAAGATAATCAGAAAATGCCTGATTTTACCACCTTCACAGGCATGCTTGGTGGGGACACTGGAGAGGGTCTTTGTTGCTACTCCCAGACTTTGGAACTTCTTCCCTCAGGAGGCCAGACTGGCCCCATCTTTGCTGTCCTTCTGCAAGCAGGCGAAAACCTTTCTCTTCAGGTCACCTGAGTGGGATTTTTTAATGGGTGGTTGTACTTTACTGCCTTGAATGTGTTTTGATGTTGCTTTTTTAAATTCTTCTTTAGTGCCACATTTGTTTGATCCTTTTTAGTATTTGTATACTTACTATTTTTAGTTTCAGATATACAGTGGTGCCTGGCACAACGAGTGCCTCACATAACGATGAATTCACACAACGATGCCTTTTTCTGTTAAATTTGCTGCCTCACACAGCGATGTTTCCTATGGGGGATTTTCACACAACGATCTCCCTTTTCGCTCCTGTAAAAGTGTCTTACAATGTTTGGACGCTGTTCAATGGCTTTGCGAAGTCCTTTTTCGCTCCTGTAAAAGTGTCTTACAATGTTTGGACGCTGTTTTAAATGATTGCAATGGTTAGTCCACCTCCTGAAACCTATGCAAACTGATTTTGGTGTTGTTCTGACACTTGTTAATTTATGATGATTTTTTGTTTTTTCCATTGGAAACCATTAGACAGACCATCCAATGGTTTCCTATGGAGATAATTCAAAAAATCATCATAAATTAACGAAGTGTCAGAACAACACCAAAATCAGTTTGCATAGGTTTCAGGAGGTGGACTAACCATTGCAATCATTTAAAACAGCTTCCAAACATTGTAAGACACTTTTACAGGAGCGAAAAAGGACTTCGCAAAGGCATTGAAATGTATTGAGTCGGCTTCAATACATTCCAATATAGGAAACATTGTTTCACTCAACGATGTTTCCTATGGGGATTTTCACTGAACGATGGCAATCCGTTCCAATTGGAACGGATTAACCGGTTTTCAATGCATTCCTATGTGAAATGGTGTTTCACAGAACGATGTTTCACACAACGTTGATTTTTTTGGAACCAATTAACATCGTTGTGTGAGGCACCACTGTAGTCTTTTAATGATGTAAACTGCCTTGAGTCCTTTTTAAGAATAGTGTAATTTATTTAAATAAACAAACAAACCTTGTGTTTTCTAAGTTCTACACTATACTCCTAGCAGCCTCTCCCATATAGCTAATAGTAACGCTGAGAAACCTAGTAAAAAAACTTTGAGGATCCCACACTGAGGAAGGATGATGCAATCTATGCAGAGAGCCAAACCAGATAGATAGGCATAAGAGATATCTAAAATTAATGCCTAACATCTCAGAGCCAGATAATTCATTATCTGCACTGGTAGCCACTTCAGAAATAGCATTCCTCATGCTTGGATAATTTTATTGGTAGAGAATGGGTGAGACAGGATACTGGATACACTACCACAGTGAAATACTACATGTACATTT